TATTATTTTTTATTTTTTTTTGTAATTAAAATATCTTTCAAAACAAGATTTTTCAATAATTTTTTTTCTTTTAATTTTTCTTTCTTTTTCTTTTTTAATATTACATATATAGTTGATTTCTTGTTTCAAGAATTTTTGATATTTTAACTGGAAAATAAATTAAAAATACTAATTAAAACTCAGTCATAGTATTAACCAGGCTTCACTGAAAAAATGATACTACATTATTTTAAGGTAAGTGGTTGCAAACTATTTATTTTAGCTACATTTAATAAAAAAAATATGTTGAAAGTTAGCCAACTAAATTTGTTTATTTAAATGTAGCTAAAATAATTTGATTGCAACCACTTACCTTACATTTTTTTTAGTAAATTCCATTAATCATTTTTTTTTCAGTGTTGAGTGCTGCTGATGCTTGCATGCAACCAGTTTACAGTGACTTCTGATTGGTCTAAAATTATTTTTATATGGTTTTGCTACAATGATTCTTCATTTTACCATTACAGTTTAAATATCAAAATCTTTATCCCTTGATATTTACAGATATGCTTCACAATGTTTTGCTTTTCCTTATAATGCATCACTTAACTACTAGTACGATGTGCATTGTAAACCTTCTACATTTATGTAATCAGCAGTGTTTCTCACTGTAAATCCTAATTAAAACCAAATCATACTCTATTAGCATGCAGTAAATAGCTGTTTAATTCACTAGTGTGCCTTCAATTCGATATATATCTACCTGTATCATAAAAATAAGCAAATTGAGTGAGGCAACTTTAACAAGTCAAAGTAATTGTTTTCCATAAATCATTTAGCAAATATACAACCGTGTCTTATTGAGGTCCTGTACAGTTATGTTCATAACACTGAAGTCTCTGTTGAATATAAGATGCAGCTGCCAACCCTAAGGTAGGTGGCACAACAATATCTCCTAGTGGTGAGACGTAGGCATCACTCGATGTAATGAGACATGAATCATCAAAGAGAACTTTGCTGTTTTTGTATGTCCAAATCCTCAACTGCATCACAGGCAACATGTTGACACAGGGCAATAACCTTTTTATGCTCTCTGTGCCATAAAAAAATTACCTTCTGTACGCTCTGGCACTTTAAATGACATGAACTGAGTCTAAAAACATTCAATGCAAATTCAGTGGTGTGTAGTTTCTCTGTAGAATCACTGTAATGACCAATAATGCTGCTGTGTCATGGGCCACATAAAAAATGAATATCAGAAATAAAGGCGGTTTACTCAAACCCCAGCACATAACCCTCACAGCAAGATGCAGACGTTCATAGCGAGGGTTATGAGCAAATTAGAAATGCAATGTTCACATACTTAGCTGATATTGGAGGATGTAGCCAATTATGAGTCCATTTGTGTCAACCGGAGGAGACCAGGTCAAGGTGACCTTGTGTTTCTGGATGTTTGTGACACTGAAAGCAGATACTTGACCAGGAACTGAAGGTAGGGAATGAAAGAAAGAGTTGACAGATATATTAATAATTTAAAGGAACGTTTCACACAAAAATGGTCATTATTATTCATTTGTTCAATCCAAAACTTTGTGACTTTCTTTCTTCCCCTACATCAAAGGTATCTCATTTGCATTTCCAAGTATTCAAACTTGTTTCCAAATATTCTAGTCACTTGACATGTGACTAGAATGGTCACATGACAAACCAGAGCCAACTGTTCCATCCCAATTAACCTACTTATACTATGCTCTAAAAATATGTACTCTTTTTGTGAAGATAAAAAATATTAAATTTTGAGTGTTAGCAGAAGAGCATGCAACATTTGGGAAATACTACTTTGTCATAATTGCGTCTTTAACGGACCTCACTGTCGCTTTGTTAGGTGCATCCTGTTACCATTTAAACTGCCCTGTCAATCATATCTTCCATATTTAATTTTATTTAATTTCCTACCATTTTGGAGAAAAGATTATGTAGCATGTTGATCTGCCAGTCAATAACTTGTGCATGACGCAAGTTAATGACCAAACTTATCTTTATAAATGTTCACAATCTTGCTGCAGTTTAAATATAATGCAAATCATTTTTATTTTTATTATTATGTTATATATTGATTATTAATCACTCAAACCCCTTCATCTAAATATCTCTACTTAACCATAAGTCTCACACATCTGACATGATTTTTAACACTTTTTATACTTAATTGTAATTAGCCATTAGAGTGAGCATGCATTTGCAACATTCTACGATTTGGGACACACTAAATCTAATTTCGAATACTATTTAGGATGTATAGTATGCAAATTGGAACATAGCATGTCTTTTAAGGTAAACTAAAGGCTGGACACACTACTCGACTTTTAAAATTGGAACATATTTTAACTTAACACTAGGCATCATACACTTGCTGACTTGGAACTGGTTACATAGAACAACTGGGCATTATACTGTAGACTAAATGACTGAGGATTACACACTACCAGATTTTAAAGTCGTTTCAAAAGCAATAAACTCACACAGAAACATGACAAATGAAAACAATGTGTGTTCTAAAGTAGGCTCTAAATATCAAATATATTTGATATGCTTCAACTGGACAGATAGTCTGAAGCTAAAAAAATCAGAGTCTGTGTTTAAAGTACATGATGTGATATTCTGTGAAATCTGTCAAATCCAACTGCCAAAACCCACAGACTGGCTCTGACTTTCATCAACTAGCGTCTCATCCAGACTGCAAATCGGGGGGGAAAATCTGTGCAAAAGCCTTAACTCACAAAACCAAATGTATTATGTTCACACACGTCCTCTCCTCACTCACCTCCCTCAGGTGTTTTGAAGCTGACCGGATGACTGCCAGGCCCGTTTCCTCTGCTGTTAAAGGCCATGACAATGAGGCTGTATTCAGAGAACGGCTTAAGCCCTGTGACCACCACATCGTTCCTCTCGCCTGAGAATGTCAATGTGTGTTTGTCACCATGTGTTTTCTTTGAGTACAGCAGACTACGAAGCCTCCAAAAGCTTATCTGTAAGTACATGAGATTAGATTAGTCCATGGGTAGTGAAATACAGCTGATGAGTAAAATACCACCATCGATTAATACATGTGGATAGCTGTGACAGCTTGCTGGGAAACAAGAGGAGCTTTGAGGTCAAAAAAGGGGTCACTGGCCTTTAAACCATGGCTACAAAGCGAAACACGTTGGTGCGGAATTACCCTGTAGCCCCCCAGATGTCCATTGAGTTTGTCCTTGTGAACATGGTCCCATCTGACCTTCACCATGGTGTTGTTCATCACTCCTACGGCTACATCCTCTGGAGCGGCTGTGGGGACTATGGACGAATAACATGCAAATTAAATATTACAAATAGCTCTATATAGCTACCTTCAAATTACACTGTTCCTAAATCAAAATAATGTCATTGAATTAGATTCAGCAATATCCATGAAATAAGGACCAAGAAATTTAGGGTAATTTTGAGGGTAATCATGGGAAAAACTGTGGTGGGGTAATAGTTGTTTATGTGGAGTTATGGACTGTAATATTGTTTTTATGCTTTGTAACTACATTTCGTTATTAAACACTTGGCAAATTGCCTATATTACAGTGATTTACTATACACAATCTAAGTAATCTCACAATCTCACTGACACCACGACACTTGCTAATGGGAAGAGATTTGATTATAATGGAATAAAACCTTGTAAACACCAGTGTTGGGTAAGCAACATCGAAACTCTACCCTGCAAAGCTAAGCTACATATAAATTAAAACACACACACACACACACACACAAATATATATATATATATAATTAAAACATATATCCTATAATTAAGCTAGCTACACTGATGGACGCAATATATTTTTAAATTATAACTATATAACTATTAGGGTTGGAACCAAGATCCACTTTTTAGACGCTGTATTATTAACAGCCCTTATGCAATATATTAAAACCCTCATAATGCATTTGGGTTTGTTTTGAAAAAATGCATAGTTTTTAGTATGGGAACCAAACTTTTGTAAATACTATCAAAATACACTTCATTTAATGTATGTTTTTAAAATATCACCATTTAAACTTTTAGCGTTTGGGTCCATTTTGACCCAGGTTTCAACATGACTGTTTTATATATATATATCAAAAATACTATTGTAAAATATAATGCTTATTGCAGCATGAAAATGTGATAATCTGAAAGTGAAAGTTTATGCAAGTAAAATATATTTATTACATTCAGCACTTGAACATTCTAGAATAATAGTTATGTTGTTTTGTTAAAAATTTATATGTTAGGTTTCATAAATGTCACCTTTTTTGAGCAGTAATGAGTGTTAATATCACAAATATACTCTGAATTTTTATAAAAATCAATGCTAATCAATGGAAATCAATGGGAATCAAACTTGTTTGGTTAGCAACATTCTTCAAAATAACTTATTTTGTGTTCTGGTTAGGTTTCATAAATGTCACCTTTTTTGAGCAGTAATGAGTGTTAATATCACAAATATACTCTGAATTTTTATAAAAATCAATGCTAATCAATGGAAATCAATGGGAATCAAACCTGTTTGGTTAGCAACATTCTTCAAAATAACTTATTTTGTGTTCTGCAGAAGAAAATAAATGCATACAGGTTTGTAATGACATGAAGTTGAGAAAAAAAAGAATCGTTAACGGACCAATTAAGGAATCTGAAAAGATCAATCTCTGCCATGCAGGGATTCAAACAGGTGACTAATTTCTGAATCTTTTTTTCACATGAACCTTCAAAATGAACTGATTCACTAGAATGAATCATACTTTCATTCCATCAGCTAGCTCGGCTTTAAAGCTGCAGACAAACAAACAGCAATTTAGCATTAATTCGCTACTTTTAGCTAGTTACTCCTAACACTGGCAAATATGCACTAAGATAAGAGAGAAATAAAAAAGAGGGAGAGACTGAGAAAGAAAAGGGGACTAAACTAATCGTACTGCACAGAGACGTAGTGACCTGAGATAACATCGGGAGGGCAACTCCAAAAGAAAACTGAAGGCAAGAGAATAATTATAGCCACAAATGTAAATAGCTCATAGCCATGATAACATTTCATTTGTTAGTCTACAAAGACTCTGAGTGAGGAAATCGTTCCTGCTTGTGCAATTTAATATCCTCAATAAGGCACAACAAATCGGCATATCAGCGCTACTGTTTGGATGCTGTGTAAAGGCAAGATGGTATTTCATCAGCGTTCTCTGTCCTCTAGGTTTGTTGATCTTCTCGTCACACATGTACTGCACTTTTGCTGGGTGGGGGGGGGGTTCCATTTGAACAAATTTGAAAATGTAATTTATATCTGTGATGGCAAAGTTGAATTTTTCAGCAGTCTCTACGATCTTTCAGAAATCATATTGAATATGCTGATTTTGCTCAAGGAACATTTCCTTTGTTGATATTCCCTAAACTTTTGAACAATAGTATTTATTTATTTTTTTTCACATTATTTGTTTTAATTTGATCATTCTTTTTCTTCCATGTATGTCTATTATTGTGGTGACTTCTGCAGAATGTTCAGTGCTTATATACCTGGTTAATTGCCAACGGTTTATCATGATGTCAAGCATTATAACAATTCACTTTTATTAACAAAGCTCTAAGGTACAGCAGCTAACTATGATTTTACAATCATCTTGCAGCAAAAGACCGAACAAAATGCAATTATTCATTAACATCCACCATTAACAATGAGATTCCTCATAATTTTATAAAGTAGGTGCATTAGTATGAAAAGGTGGCCAAGTAATAGCTCAGAAATTGTAAAATTATTTAAAATAAAATATTTTCTGTTGAACTTTGTGTTCGTCATAAAATCCTGAAAAAAACATATTTCTTGAGCATCAAATCAGCATATTAGAATGATTTCTAATAGATCATGTGACACTGAAGACTGGAGCAATGACTGATGAAAATTTAGCTTTGCTGTCACAGGAATAAATTACTCTTTAAAATGTTAAAACAGAAAAGACTTATTTTAAATTGAAAAAATATTTCACTATAGTATTGTTTTTACACTCTTTTTGATCTAATAAATGCATCCTTGATGAGCATAAGAGACTTCATAAATATAAAAAAATTACCAACCCCAAAATTTTAAACGGTAGTGTATCGCCCCTGTGGACTGTTTGCTGTGGTTTCTTCCCCTTGTGTTGGTTTGGCCCATCTAATCATTAGTTAATTACCCTCACTGTGTTCACCTGTCTGCCCCTCGTTATCTGCCCTATAAGTTCCTGTCTCTTGTATTCTAGTGTTGTCGGTTAGTGTGAATGTTACCCCTAGTGTGTGCCTGTCTCTGCCTTGTTGTCGCTACATTAAATATCCTTATTTTGTATCCTTGTCATCCTCGTCATCCTGCCTGCCTCCACACACCTGGACCGTGACAGGTAGTGTAATTAGCATATGTTGAGTCATTTATATAAGGTAAAAATTGTCCAAACAAGTAAAACCAAGAGGCTGTGCAAGTCCTAGTCTATAATCTGTATCCAGTGCATCCAAATTTATATTTATAATACAGTATATGGTAGGGGTTGCACCGACTAGTCGACTTCAATGCTCTGCCATGACGGTTTAAGCTTGACATCGACAAGTCACTGGTCCCATAGAGGCACAACAGGATAAGAAATCTTTGAAAGACTTTCACATTTACGCTCTGTTTCCAAACAGTTAAAATGACAAATAAATGCATACTCTGAAAGCGCTCCACAAGACATGTGAGATTATATTACTGGATGCTCGAAATTGAACGGGAGAATGCACGTTTTAAACCGCTTATTGTACAGGTAGGTAAATTAATCGGCGTTCTAATCTAATGCGCTGCTGCATTATAACGCACACTCATAGGATACAGACCGTAGCTCGTACATCACGCACAGATCACGTGCACACAGAATCATTCAGCGCGGAAATGTATTGTCAACACTGTTCTGTGATTTCTCAATAAAATTGCTTTAGAAACTGAAAAGTTCAAGCATATATTTCTTAACTAAATCCCACAGTTTCCACAAGACATGTGAGATTATATTACTGGATGCTCGAAATTGAACGGGAGAATGCACATTTTAAACCGCTTATTGTACAGGTAGGTAAATTAATCGCCGTTCTAATCTAATGCGCTACTGCATTATAACGCACACTCATAGGATACAGACCGTAGCTCGTACATCACGCACAGATCACGTGCACACAGAATCATTCAGCGCGGAAATGTATTGTCAACACTGTTCTGTGATTTCTCAATAAAATTGCTTAGAAACTGAAAAGTTCAAGCATATATTTCTTAATAACTAAATCCCACAGCTTCACTACTAGTAGAGAGACGCTGCCAGGTAGAATAAATTCACACATGCAATCGCTCTCACTAATGCATTCATATGAATGTAATCTTTACTGTGCTACTTTATCTGTATCTGATTTAGAACGAGTAGAAATCTGTGAGTAACATAACGACTCAAAGACAAAAGAACTGTTAAAAATGAGCTGTTATATGAGCAATAGCCATGTGGGCAGTGCTGTGTCATATGCCATAGCTGTGCACAAAGTGTTTATCACAGCTCCAGACTTCTTTGTTCATTACTGACGCCATCAGCGACTAGTCGACTTCGACTCGACTTTCATCCCATAAAAGTCGACTTTAAAAAATCAGAAATCGTTCAACCCCTAGTATATGGACAATAAGGGTGTTAAGACTGTTACCTGTAATGGAGCTGTTATGGTCATCTCCTGGAATCCATTGCAGTTTCACACTTCTGCCATTATGTTCTGAAAGGATCATATCCTCTGGTGGATCAGGAACATCTAAGGAAACAACAAACTTTATTTAGGGCTGTCAATCGATTAAGAATCTCGAGTTCAATCAGATTCATTACATGATATTGTTGCTTTTTTGTTTTTGTTGCCATTTTATAGATATTTTGGAGACAGTAGGAGAAATGAAGAAAATGATAGGGAGAAGAGGGAGGTTGGGTCTGGGAAATGACTCCAGCTGGTTTCAAACATGACAGAGCTCATGCACTACCTGCCAGGTCATGTCTCCAGCTAGTTTATTTGTACAAATACTATGTGGTGCTGTCTTATTAAATATATAATTCCAGCTGTGGCACAGCAGGTAGCCAAATCCCACCTGTGTCATGCGCTGAACCCGATTCAGCCCTCAAAACGTCTGTCTATCTTTACTTTCCTAAACAATAAAGACCGAAAGCACATAACTCACCTACAACTGAAAGCTGTGCAACCGCCATGTCCTGGTCGACTGGTGTTCTGGCCACACAGGCATAAAAGCCCTGGTCTCCAAAGCTCACATTAATGATTTCAAGCACTCCATCGTCCAGGATATATCTACAGACACCAGCATAGACACTGATTAGACAGCTCTGACATTCACTACTGTAGAATAATGACATCCTGTTGTATCTCACCGTGCGTTCTCGCTGGCATTGAGGGCCATGCCATCTTTTTCCCAGAGGATCTCAAAGTCATCACCAATGGAGGGATCAAACTCTGCCTGGCATGAAAACTGGATAGTAGTTCTGACCAAAACCCGCAAATCATGAGGAGGATCGACTATTCTGGTGGGATCTGACAAGGAAAACAAAAGTAATTTTGGATTATATGGATTAACTAAACTGATTTATTTTCTGAATCTTGTAAACCCCTTGAACTTGACTGATTTACAAAAGAGTATCTGTTTCTCATACCTTTGACTTCAAGTGTTGCAGCAATGGCAACTTTGCCCTCAGTGTTTTGAGCAAAACAAGAATACTCCCCCATGTCCTCTTTCATCACGTTGTGGATCTCCAGCGAACCATTCTTATGAACAGAAAACCTTTCTCCTTCCACTGAATTGGCACTGTCAGTTTTACTCCTATGCAACCATAAACCAACTGGGTCATTTTCAGAAAACAGCATAAACTGTGTGCATAATAGTGTTCGCATGTCTTTCTGAAATCTAAGAAATCACCACCACAAAAAAAATGCAAATAATAAAATAAAATAAAAAAATCACTCCACCTAAAATCATGTAAACCACAATAATCCAAATAGACTAAAAAGGTTGCAGGTCATTTTTGCTACTTTTTACTAAAATATAAGTCACAGTATACAAAACTTACATAATTTAATAGATTTACCTCTGTTTAGTGTGTAAGGCACATAACTTTTAAAATAAAACATTAATACATTTTTTTTTAGAAATACTGCCGTTGAAAAGTTTAAGATCAGTAAGATTTTAAATAAATAATAAAACTTTTTCTCACCAAGGACACTTTAAATTGTTTAAACGTGACAGTAAAGATATTTATAAGGTTACACAAGATTTCTATTTTAAATAAATGCTGTTATTTTGGATTGAAAAAATGGTTTCCACTATATCAAATCTGCTGAACATTCAGGAATAAATTACATTCAAATAGAAAACTTATTTTAATTGTAATAATATTCCATAATCCAGCCTTGATTAGAAAAAGATACTTCTTTTACAAACATTAAAAAATCTCACCAACCCCAAATTTTTGAACGATAGTGTAGATTTTATGAATTCAATAAAATACTCTGCTTTCTCTTATGTGCCACCACAGTCAACACTTCTGCTGTTATTGCATTAACTTAACAGTAGCATACTTACAGATCCACATGAGTAGTTTACCTCATTATCACAGTGCTGAACACAGCCTGAGGGCCCACCCTTGAGTAAACTGCTTTACCAGCGCCAAACCACATTAAAGACACTCTATCACTACAGCACTAACACCTGTAGAGCAGTGCTGCCCTCTGCCGGCCTGTGCAAATACATCCACTACAGCAGGCTCTACTCACCATGTAATACTGGATGTTGGTGAGCTGAAGACCTTACAGTGCATGGCCACACCTTTCCCCTCCACTGCCATATATTGCAGATTGTTTTCTGTTAAGATCAGGGGCTGGATGTCTGGGGAGAGAGTTATCAGCATTGCACCATTAAACATGACAAAACACGATTGGATTAATCTCTTTATCTCTTGTCTTGTGATGCACATTGTTATCAGTTCAGTAAAAAAGTCCTTGTCCCTAGGAAAAGCAGATCCCTGCTCTATCAGGGGAGTTAAGCGGGTTTGCAGGGTTACGGAGAGAGAGTTGAGATATGTTTTTCCGATTCTTTATTAAATTTCATTTTTCCGTTTCAAATTTTTTTTTGAAAGTGAGGATCCTTAGCAGCTTATTTTATCTCCCAAATTAAACATGCTTTGGTTCTAGCAACTGAATATGAATGGAGGAAGGCAAAGTTGTTCACACATAAAAGTGTCTGGCCGCCTGAGGGAGAGTGTGTCTGGAGATCAGAACTGACAGAAGAGCTCCGCCCTAAAGCCTGTGTGCTATCATGAGGACCTTCCAATCTCTGAACAAACCCAAGGGCTGTCCACTGTCCCTTTCACACTGCTGCTTATGGCTCTGTCCACACCAACAAATAAAGCAAATGCTTGTTCACTGCCAACCAACACCATGGTGTTTTTGTGAGATTTTTGTTTGGCCAAGAGTGAATGAAACCAAAAGTATCCCATAAGAATGCACTTCTGAAACGAATAATGCCACAGGTCTCTCTTTAAAAGGGTGGAGACACCGCCCTAAATCATATTTGCTAATAAAATCCAATACTGTTTCTTACTAATTTTGGGAAATAGTGCCTGTTTTGCTTAAGCATGTTACACTTTCTCACAAAATATGTGCATTTTGTGGCATTTTTGCTTTTGACAACCATTCACAACACACAAGTCTTGTACTATCCCTTACCTTACCTTCACCAGAAAAGCTGCCACAAAGACATGATTCCTAGCCAGGTTACAACTATTTCTTCTGTTCTCAGCTGATTTTCACATGCATGGATCATTCTGAAGATGTTTTATGCCTAATCCTGATTATCACATTTTACACTACTTAAATTATAAATTCTGAATATTTCTTTTTGTCATTAAAATCAGCATTTGATTGTGCATTAAAGCTGATACATATATATATATATATATCGTTTGAAAAAAAAATCTCCATTAAATTAAGTAATATTAGGCCTTTTGCAAATCAGCAGAATTTTTTTTTTTTTTACCTCAAACTGGTAAAACAGCATATTTCATTCATGAATGAATGCAAATCCGTTACAGCCGTGTACAGTTTACGTACTCATAATCATGATGTTGGCATTGGCTAGGATGGTGCCATGTCTGTTTGTGGCCTCACACTGATATACAGCACTGTTTTCGGGCTTTGCGTTGTGGATGGAAATGGTGCCATCTTTTAAGACTTTCCTATTGGATGTTGGGACATCTGAAAATGTGGGTTAAATGATTAGTTAAAGTACAGTATGGCAGGATATCTTTATAAAAACTATTACTTTAAAATTATCATCATAAGGAAATTGATTATTTAAATGCAATTACAACCATGTACATAAACAAAACAAAAAAGTGGTGACAATTATAGTTTTTATTAACAAACATTGGTATATTATACAGTACAATGCTTGCCGGGGCATTTAGAAAGCCATTTTTGAAGTTAGTTGGCACAATCATTTGAAATCAATATAATTCAAATTTTATATTGTTAATGAAAGGTTCAGTAATTAGGAATGTTTACCGTTCAGAGGTTGGCCATTGACCCTCCATGCAACACTAGGTTGAGGATTTCCTTTCACAACACACTTGATCACCACATCAGCTCCAATTGTCACCAATTGACTTTGAGGTTCAATCTCAAATTCAGGAGGCTCTGTTCATGCAGAAGAATCACATGACATAATCTGACGAGTCAATTGTGGCATTCAGTGGTTAGATATTTCCTAATAGTCACTGATGTTTGAACACAAAGTGTTGTTAAAGGTCGAGATGCTGTGTGTGGAAGTCGTGTGGCCTGACCTTTCTTGTTGCTTGAAAATATAGATACATATATCCCTCACAGTCTCGTTTTTTCTGTGTTAAATTCAATATGGCATTTACTCTAACTAAGGTCTATATTGAAAAAATACAGAGACTATATGTGATGAAAATACAGAAACACTAAATATAAGGTTATCAGATATATGCATGCATAATTGTTCTCTTAATAACCTGAAAATGATCATTTATCATACCCAAAATTATCACTGTATTATGCTAGGACTCTATTTCTAGTTGTCCTAATCATGCATACTTTGTATTTGGACAGAAGATGGCGCTCTTTTACCACAAAGAGTGTCTTTAATACAGACATGATATTGAAACCATTTATAAAGCAACACTGGCACATTTACTGTGGTTATATTATGAGATTAATGTGATCAATAATATGACTCACCCTCTACTGTAACATGAAAATAATGCACAACCTCTCCATGGGGATTTTTGGCTCTGCACATATATTTCCCTTCATCCTCCTCATTCACCATCTCTACAGTAAGCAACTTCCCATGACTCTCCACCTCGGCTCTTTCTGGAAGCTCGTGGTAGCCTATTTTAGCCCACTCCACCTTTGGTGTGGGGCTGAAAGACAGAAACAATCAAAACATTTTAAAGTCTAATAATAGTGTTTTGTGTTCAAACAGACATGAAGTATTCAATCATTTATATAATAAGTATTTTGATGCATCCATCTAAATGCTCTTGATTGCATTTTTTTTTTTTTTTTTACAAAATAACCTTTATAAACATTCCTACTAGATTTCAAAAGCATTTCAAGTGGTATAACTGAAACGAATGCCAAGCTCGTAATTAGATTAATAAATTAACTGAATTAATAAAATGAATTAGACAATGACACTTACAAGCCCTCTGCAATACACTCCAACTGAAGATCTTCGCCTTTCATCAGATATGTATGTGACTCCTTTCCTGTGGGCGTCAGTAGACTGGGCTTCCTCTCCAAGAGAGAGTTTGCTTTATAACAGTGAAAAGATTATGCATGAAAAATATATAATATAATATAATATAAAAAAATTGCAAAAATACTGTTTTATATTAATGAATGATTCAAGAAATTGTTTTAACATACAAAAAATAACACACTTCTGATCCAATACAGAGAATGAGTCATGGATGAACTTATGAATTATTCCCATCAGTTGATTACAGAAAACCCTAGAGATTTGCAAATCTAGGCTAAAGAGTAGGCAAGTATGATGTGGCATGGAATGAAATAATTAATAAAAACTAATTAAAAACAAAGAAGCTGCTCTACGCCCATGTAGCATCCCTAATGAATGTCACTCACCATAACCTCTGCCGCTACCAGAGTCCTTCATTAACTTGTCTTGGATGAAGAAATGGAGACAAATAAAATATGTGTGGCAAATGCAAAAACAATAGATAATATGGACATGAAATACACAAACAAGTCTTCACAGGAAGTATTATGAAAGTACGGGAAGCATCGATATCTTCCAAGCTGATTTGCTGAAGTCCAGCAAGTGCTTGGAGATTGACTACATGAGAAACTGGGGGGATGCATCAGATGCACATGACCGACATGTTTGAAATTGATGCTGGCCATGTAAAGAAATGATCATGCTATATGCAATCAAACTCTTAAAGAGGAGTATTTTAACGTACTGCTTTTGACCATGACAGACATGGCGGTTTTCTGGACGATGGTTCGTATGCGGGGGAAGGCAGCAAAGCAGCAGTAATCTCTGCGACTGTCCGACTTGATGGCGTTTGAGAAGTACAGGTTCCCGTTCAGACCCACTGATACTCTCTCGTCCAGCTCGATGTGCTGTAGACCTGTGATGTTCAAAGAAAAAAAAATCTAATGAAGCTTATAACACTTTTAGCTAAGTAACAATGACATTAGAGTAATAATATGATTACTTTAATGAGCATTAATAGATAGACAATATAAAGAATAGTTCACCCAAAAATTTATATTTTGCTCACCCTTAGGCCATCCAAAATCATTTTAACTGTGCAATATTGATTAGATGATCACTGAATGCACTGTGGTCAGAGTGTGGGCGGGAACTTACGTATTGTCATCCAGTAGATTTCCAGCGGGGGGATTCCTTTAGGTGGATTGCACTCCAGAATGACTGACTGACCTTCCATAACCTCAATCGGATCGATGATCTCTTTAGGGAACTTCGGAACATCTGCAGAAATCAACAAGCAAAATGAATCGATACGTACCATTATATTCCATTTTAATATTAGGCCTTTTGCAAATCAGCAGAATTTTTTTTTTTTTTATCTCAAACTGGTAAAACAGCATATTTCATTCATGAATGAATGCAAATCCGTTACAGCCGTGTACAGTTTACGTACTCATAATCATGATGTTGGCATTGGCTAGGATGGTGCCATGTCTGTTTGTGGCCTCACACTGGTAAACAGCACTGTTTTCGGGCTTTGCGTTGTGGATGGAAATGGTGCCATCTTTTAAGACTTTCCTATTGGATGTTGGGACCTCTGAAATAGAAAAATAAAAAATATGGGTTAAATGATTAGTAAAAGTACAGTATGGCAGGATGCAATTATACACCACACTGTGCTCCTAATCACACACCTTTATAAAAATGATTACTGTAAAATGACCATCCTAAGTAAATAGATTAATTAAACGCAATTACTCCCATTTACACACACAGAAAAATTGGTGACACCTAATTGTAATTTTCATTAACAAACATTATGCCATTATTTGATAGGCCATTTAGAAAGCTATTTTGAAGTCAGTTGGCACACTAATTTGAAATCAGTATAATCATAATTTTTCAGTTATTTGAAATGGGAATTAGGAATGTTTACCGTTCAGCAGTCGGCCGTTGACCCTCCATACAACAATAGGTTGAGGATTTGCTTTCACAACACACTTGATCACCACATCAGCTCCAATCGTCACCAGTTGGCTCTGAGGTTCAATCTCAAACTCAGGAGGCTCTGTTCATGCAGAAGAATGAAGTCACATATTATACACATGACATAATTCTGATTAGTCAATTGTGGCATTCAGCAGCCAGATATTTCCTAATAGTCACCGATGTTTGAACACAAACAGTTGTTAAAGGTCAAGATGGTGTGTGTGGAAGTCATGTGGCCTAACCTTTATGTTGCTTGAAAATATAGATATATCTACCCCTCAGAGGTCTCGTTTTTTTCTGTTAAATTCAATAAGGTGTTTACTCTGACTAAGGTCTATATTGGAAAAAATATAGACACTGTATGTGATGAAAATACAGAAACACTAAATATAAGGTTATCTGCTATCAACTATGAATGGTAATCTGTCATATGTATGCATAATTGTTCTCTGATAACCTGAAAATTATTATTTAAAATCCCTAAAATGATCACTGTGTCCTTGTATTATGTTAGGACTCTATGGCCTGGTTTCACAGACAGGGTTTAGACTAAGCCAAGATTAGGCCATAGCTCATTTGGGACATTATAAACATGCCTTAGAAAAAAAAAACATTACTGGTGTGCATCTTGACACAAAACAAAGGCACTGACATATTTTAAGATCAATCAGTGCAAGTTTCTTTCAGTTGAAACAGCTCAGACTTTTAGTTTGGATTGTTAGGATTGTCTGTGAAACCAGGGGTATATCTACATATCACGAATTAGTCCTGCAAGCACACTTTATCTTTGAACAGAAGATGGCGGTCTTTAAACACAAAGAGTGACTTTAAATACAGACATGATATTGAAACCATTAATAAAGCAACACTGGCACATTTACTGTGGTTAGAATATGAGATTAATGTGATCAATAATGTGACTCACCCTCTACTGTAACATGAAAATAATGCACAACCTCTCCATGGGGATTTTTGGATCTGCACATATATTTCCCTTCATCCTCCTCATTCACCATCTCAATAGTAAGCAACTTGCCATGACTCTCCACCACGACCCTTTCCGGAAGCTTGTGGAAACCTATTTTTACCCACTCCACCTTTGGTGTGGGGCTGAAAGACAGAAACAATCAAAACATTTTAAAGTCTATTAATAAAGTTTTAGTGAACTATTCAATAATTTATATTATAAGTATTTATACTTAATTGCATTTTTTTACAAAAATAATCATTTAAACATTCCCACTAGATTTCAAAGCATTTGAAGTGGTATAATTGAAATGAATGTCAAGCTCCTAATTGGATTAACAATAAAACAAATTAGACAATGACACTTACAAGCCCTCTGCAATACACTCCAAATGAAGATCTTCGCCTTTCACCAGATATGTATGTGACTCCTTTCCTGTGGGCGTCAGTAGACTGGGCTTCCTCTCCAAGAGAGAGTTTGCTTTATAACAGTGAAAAGATTATGCATGAAAAATATATAATATAATATAATATAAAAAAATTGCAAAAATACTGTTTTATATTAATGAATGATTCAAGAAATTGTTTTAACATACAAAAAATAACACACTTCTGATCCAATACAGAGAATGAGTCATGGATGAACTTATGAATTATTCCCATCAGTTGATTACAGAAAACCCTAGAGATTTGCAAATCTAGGCTAAAGAGTAGGCAAGTATGATGTGGCATGGAATGAAATAATTAATAAAAACTAATTAAAAACAAAGAAGCTGCTCTACGCCCATGTAGCATCCCTAATGAATGTCACTCACCGTAACCTCTGCCGCTACCAGAGTCTGAGTCCTTCATTAACTTGTCTTGGATGAAGAAATGGAGACAAATAAAATATGTGTGGCAAATGCAATAACAGCTAAAACAACAGATAATATGGATATGAAATACACCAACAAGTCTTCACATGAAGTATCACGAAAGCACAGGAAGCATCAAAATCTACCAAGCTGATTTGCTGAAGTCCAGCAAGTGCTTGGAGATTGACTACATGAGAAACTGGGGGGATGTATCAGAAGCACATGACACGACATGTCTGAAATCGATGCTGGTCATGTAAAGAAATGATCATGTTATGCAATCAAACTTTTGAAATGAGTATTTCAACGTACTGCTTTTGACCACAACAGACATGGCAGTTTTCTGAACGATGGTTCGAATGCGTGGGAAGGCAGCAAAGCAGCAGTAATCTCTGCGACTGTCGGTCTCAATAGCATTTGAGAAGTACAGGTTCCCGTTGAGACCCAATGATACTCTTTCGTCCTGCTCGATGTGCTGTAGACCTGTGATGTTTCACAGAAATTGAGAAAAAAACCTAATGAAGCTCAAAACACTTTTAGCTTAGTAAGAGTGATATTACAGTAATAATATGATTACTTTAATGAACATTAATAGATGTGGACAAGGAATAGGTAACCCAAAAATGAAAATTTGCTCACCCTTAGGCCATCCAAAATGTAAATGAATTTGTTTCTTCATCAAAACAGATTTAGAGAAATGTAGAATTACATCACTTGCTCACAAATGGGTCCTCTGCAGTGAATGGGTGCCGTTAGAATGTAAGTCCATCAGTTGATAGAAACATCACAATAATCTGCAAGTAATCCACATGACTCCAGTCCACCAGTTAACATCTTGTGAAGCTGTAAACAATGGTTTGACGTCATTGTGGATTATTGTAATGCTTCTATCAGCTGTTTGGACTCTCATTCTGACGGCACCCATTCACTGCAGAGGATCCTTTGGTGAACAAATTATGAAATGCTTAATTTCTCCAAATCTGTTGTGATAAAGAAACAAACTCATATACATCTTGGATGACATGAGGATGAGTACATTTTAAGAGAATTTTCATTTTTAGGTGAACAATTCCTTTAAGTAATATAATTTGTAACATTTGTTCCAATGTTACACACATTTGTCTGTCCAAATGTAATAAATTATTTAAATATTATATAATTAAAATAATAAATATCATTTTAATTATTTATTTTAATATTTTTAATAAACAATTAGGTTAATCATATTAAATTATATATAAACAATTGTTTCCAGATGGGTTATTAAAAACCTGCATACTCAACTGTGCAATATTGATCAGATGATCACTGAATGCACTGTAGGTGTGCCTTAGACTAATTTAACCCAAATAACCTAACTTGAACTTACTTATTGTCATCCAGTAGATTTGCAGTGGGGGGATTCCTTTGGGTGGGTTGCACTCTAGAATGACTGACTGACCTTCCATAACCTCAATCGGATCGATGATCTCTTTAGGGAACTTTGGAATATCTGCAGAAATTAACAAGCAAAATGAATCGATAAATATAATTATATACCATTTCACAAATTGAATTACCACTAGGTGGCAATATAATACAAATTTTCTTCCCTAAGGCATTCCTGGAAAAATATTATTTGTTCCAATTTCCCAAATTTAGTCCAAAAATCTGCCACTAACACATCACACTGCTGCTGAAACTGTACATACCAACTGAGTGATTGAAAACAAGTCTTGTTTGGTAACTGATGACTGCTCTGGTTACATTTGTGGAGATTTATGTGGTGTATTTCAGAACACAATGAGAAATATGACGTCGAAAAATGATGGAGAGAGAGGTAAAAACTCATTTTTCATCAGCCCTCTCCTCACAGTCCATACACACTGTGATGAAAGAGAGAGAAAAGCTCCAGGGTTTGTAGCGGGCAAGTAAAATGGATATCCCACTAAGGACCAGAGCGGTTGTTTTATTGGACACTGGTCTCTAAATCATTCCGAAAGAGTCGTTACGGAGCATACGGCACAAAGTTATACATTACTTACTCGGAACAATGAATTCAATCTCTTCTGACATTGCTGTTCCTAATTTGTTGGTTGCAAAGCAACGATAATTGCCCTGGAATTCTGTGAGATTCCCATTATTGGGAATGATGAATGTTCCGGAATCATCTAATGTTTTCAATCTGGGGTCCTGATATGGATCAAAGTCTTGACCATTCTTTGTCCACCTGAATCTGAAAAACAGAGATGATCAGTAATTAAATGAAATTACACCACTCAGTGTGCGCCCTTTGAAATATGATGAAAACATCACAAGCATGTAAAGAGGATTTCCACATTCAGGTTTTCAAATTTAAAATGAGATCAAATACTCAGACAAGGCTTTGAAATGTGCTTTAAAAAATACCAGTGGGGTGTTTCTGATGTTTTTATTTTTGCGTATATTATGAGCTGTTCTACCCATGATCTACCCTGGTGAATTTCCATGTTGGTTTGGTGCTGATATAGCACAGCTGCACTGTTCACCCGCAAAAATAGCTGGTGATGCTGATCAACCAGCATGGAAGAACTATGATGATACTCTTGTGGTTGTTCCTGAAGATCGTTTCCTCCATCTCTGGTCTAGTTTTCGAAGCAAAGCACCAGCAAGTAATTAGTAGAGGAAGATGAATGGTAACACAACTTCCAGCTGGAGATGAATTTATTACGATTCCATATCATATGATAACAAGTGATTAACTCATGTTTGAATCTGATCTAATTTGAAAAGCTTGGAACAATTATTAACTTTTGTAATGAATGTATTATTTATAATCAGATTGAGGCTGGAAAACAGAACAGTTTTTTTTTTTTAAAGAAAATCAAATTTTAAATAAATTCAAATACAAATTCTGTTCTTTTGAACTTTCTATTCATGAAATAATCCTTCAGAGATCCTGAAAAAATATGGCTTCCACCTAAATATTAAGCAGCACAACCGTTTTCAACATTGATAATAATAATAAATGTTTCTTGAGCATTAGATCAGATTATAGAATGATTTCTGACGGATCATGTGACACTGAAGACTGGAGTAATGACTGTTGAAAATTAAATTTTGCCATCAAAGAAAAAAAAAAAGAAGAAGAAGAAAAAAAAAATATATATATATATACAGTGGTGTGAAAAAGTGTTGGCCCCCTTCCTGTTTTTTTTACATTTTTTGCATATTTGTCACACTTAAAAGATTCAGATCATCAAACAAATTTTAATATTACACAAAGATAATGCAAGTAAATACAAAATTCAGTTTTTAAATGATTATTTATTTTATTAAGGGAAAAAAGCTGTCCAAACCTGCCTGGCCCTACGTGAAAAAGTAATTGCCCCCCTAAATCTAATAACTGGTTGTGCCACGCTTTGCAGCAACAACTGCAATCAAGTGTTTGCGATAACTGGCAATGAGTCTTTCACATCGCTGTGGAGGAATTTTGGCCCACTCTTCTTTGCAGAATTGTTTTAATTCAGCCACATTGGAGGGTTTTCGAGCATTGTTCCAAGTTTTCTCAATTTGTGGATAATGGCTCTGACCATGGTTCGCTGGAGTCCCAAAGCCTTAGAAATGGCTTTATAATCCTTTCCAGACTGATACATGTCAACTGTTTTGATTCTCATCTGTTCTTGAATTTCTTTAGATCGCGGCATAATGTGTTGCTATTTAAGCATGCTTCACTTTGTCAGACAGGTTCTATTTAAGTGATTTCTTGATTCAACAGGTCTGGCAGTAATCAGGCCTGTGTGTGGCTAGTGAAATTTAACTCAGCTTTCTAAAATAATGTGGTTAATTGCAGATCTTTCATGATTTAACAGGAGGGGGCAATTCATTTTTCACGTAGGGCCACGTAGGTTTGGACAGCTTTTTTCCCTTAATAAATGAAATCATCATTTAAAAACTGCATTTTGTATTTACTTGCATTATCTTTGTGTAATATTTAAATTTGTTTGATGATCTGAAACATTAAAGTGTGACAAACATGCAAAGAAATAAGAAATCAGGAAGGGGGCCAACACTTTTTCACACCACTGTATATATGTATAGATAAATAAATAAAAATTAAATATATCTTTTTAGAATATATTAAAAATATAAAACAGTTACTGCAAATTGCAACACAAATTCACAATATTACTGGTTGTACTGCATTTTCTTAAATCAAATAAATGCAGCCTGGGAGAGACTTCTTTAAAAAAATAAAAAATAAAAAATAAATATATATATATATATATATATATATTCACACTATCACACTAACTATTTGAATAGTAGCATATTTGTGTGTGTATACTGCTTACTCCGTTCCAGGGTTTCCTGTGGCCTCACACTTCACGGGGAAGCTCTCTTCGAAAGGAAAGGCGATCAGAGAGGCAGGTGAGTGCTCTGTAATTGTGGGCAGCTGCTCCACTAGATAAAGAAACAGCCAGAGAGAGGAAGTGCTCAGTAGATTATGCATATAGGAGGAAAAATGGTGGCATGCAAATGTGAAATGGCTTTGGTTAAATCATAATGACTTTCCACAATCAGATCAACTGTTTTGATCAATTAGATATTGAATCATTGATTGTGTTGTTGGCCAAAGAGTGAGTTGTTATGAGGCAATGGCAAATGATCTGGTCAAATAATGTCAATGAGAGTTTGTTTGTGGTTTAGAACAGGAAGAAACTAATGGCTAATACAGCTTGAGTGTAAAATTGGATATGCATAATCAAAATGATGATGGAGTGATGGTATGAGTTACAATTTGACAAATGTAAAGTGTTTTGCTGGCTCTGTTGTTGGAAGTTGTCCACTATGCACAGAAAAAAAACACTCTAAAAATCATCTAAATGCTTTGTTTTGAGGGAACATTCTTGTTAACATTTCTACTCTATTAACAACAACAAAAAAGTGTTTAATTTGCTTCTATGAAAAATAACTAATTTGAATGAGACTGTTCACAAAAAGTAATTTTTTTTTATAAGATTGTATGATAAAGGAATACCATTCAGGATGTACCATAGTAGTACAATAGTATCCAAATACCATCAAGTACCATCAAGGGACTTGAATATGATAATTATGAAGTACCATGGTATCCCCATCTGATACCATAGTATCAGGGCAGTAGTACTTCATTGTAAATGTCCCCAACAAAAGAGCAAATCTCTGCATTTATGCATGATTTTTAAAAGAAATCTCATGGTTGGTGGATGATAATGGCCTCTATGGATGGAAGTTTCTAGTTCTATGGATGGGGTAGCATTGCAAACTTACTGTTCACACGTGCTAAAACTAACAAATCCACCGCAGCAAGAAGAACACAGAGAAACAAACGCGCAGGGATTTGTTAGAACCATATAGATATTACTTCTGTTGAACTGCTAACAAATAATTAATTGACATCAAACAATTAAATACAGGTCCATGTTTGATTAAATTAACGCAGAAGCGAGAGAGAGAGAAAAAATAAGAACATTGTGTTCCCCTAAGATATCTTATATATCTTAGATATATTGTGAATAATTTAACAGTAACAAAATACACTTTTATTTGGTTTCCATGGAAACGGTGAAATACATAGCCCTAGCAATAAATTATACCTGCTCTCAGCTTGAGTGAACCTGCATAGAAACACCCAGTTTCAAACAGATTAGTTGTAAGAACAGTGTGCTCACTATGGAAGCCTGCATCCCTCTCTGAGTAAAAAATAAAGCAATTATGTGATAAATGTAAAAAAAATAAACAAAAAAAGTGTGATAGAAAAAGTCACAATTATGCATTTTTAATATACTGTATGCAGTCGTGTTTGTGAGATGTTAAGTCCCAGTTGACATGAAGCCACAATTGTGAGATATAAAAACAATTGTGAGAAATAAAGGCGATTGTGGGATATAAAGTAGCATTTCAGAAACTGCCTGAAAAAAATTAAATTGTGGGACATAAATGAGACATGAAATCACAAATAATATGAATATGAAGTCTCAGTTGTGGGATATTGTGAGATAAGTCACAATTGTGATATATAAAGTCGCAACTGAAATTATATGAAGTTGTAATTTCTGCAAATGGAATAGCAATTTAATTTCAAAGTCACAATCATGAGATGATTTCACAATTTTGAGACAGAATGTTGCAACTGTGAGATATAAAGTAGAATCTGTAAGGAATTAACAATTAAGTTCCAATTTTGAAAATAAAGTTGCAATTATGAGAAATTAAGTCACTTGTCACTAAGTCATTTGTTCATTTTTAAGGTGAAAACAGGCTTCCATAGCTCAACGTTCTTCCAGAAAGCATGAAAAACAGGCCAGTTTGTGCACACAGCAAACAATTAAACAAACAGTACTGAAAATATTGTCATGTAAACAGGTAAGACATTACTAGAATACTACAGAAGAAAATACATAGAACAGGAAGTAATTTATTCAACTTACCTTCAAGTGGAATATCCTGTTGTTGGAAGTTGTCCACTATGCACAGAGAAAAAACACTCTAAAAATCATCTAAATGCTTTGTTTTGAGGGAACATTCTTGTTAACATTTCTACTCTATTAACAACAACAAAAAAGTGTTTAATTTGCTTCTATGAAAAATAACTAATTTGAATGAGACTGTTCACAAAAAGTAATTTTTTTTATAAGATTGTATGATAAAGGAATACCATTCAGGATGTACCATAGTAGTACAATAGTATCCAAATACCATCAAGTACCATCAAGGGACTTGAATATGATAATTATGAAGTACCATGGTATCCCCATCTGATACCATAGTATCAGGGCAGTAGTACTTCATTGTAAATGTCCCCAACAAAAGAGCAAATCTCTGCATTTATGCATGATTTTTAAAAGAAATCTCATGGTTGGTGGATGATAATGGCCTCTATGGATGGAAGTTTCTAGTTCTATGGATGGGGTAGCATTGCAAACTTACTGTTCACACGTGCTAAAACTAACAAATCCACCGCAGCAAGAAGAACACAGAGAAACAAACGTGCAGGGATTTGTTAGAACCATATAGATATTACTTCTGTTGAACTGCTAACAAATAATTAATTGACATCAAACAATTAAATACAGGTCCATGTTTGATTAAATTAACGCAGAAGCGAGAGAGAGAGAAAAAATAAGAACATTGTGTTCCCCTAAGATATCTTATATATCTTAGATATATTGTGAATAATTTAACAGTAACAAAATACACTTTTATTTGGTTTCCATGGAAACGGTGAAATACATAGCCCTAGCAATAAATTATACCTGCTCTCAGCTTGAGTGAACCTGCATAGAAACACCCAGTTTCAAACAGATTAGTTGTAAGAACAGTGTGCTCACTATGGAAGCCTGCATCCCTCTCTGAGTAAAAAATAAAGCAATTATGTGATAAATGTAAAAAAAATAAACAAAAAAAGTGTGATAGAAAAAGTCACAATTATGCATTTTTAATATACTGTATGCAGTCGTGTTTGTGAGATGTTAAGTCCCAGTTGACATGAAGCCACAATTGTGAGATATAAAAACAATTGTGAGAAATAAAGGCGATTGTGGGATATAAAGTAGCATTTCAGAAACTGCCTGAAAAAAATTAAATTGTGGGACATAAATGAGACATGAAATCACAAATAATATGAATATGAAGTCTCAGTTGTGGGATATTGTGAGATAAGTCACAATTGTGATATATAAAGTCGCAACTGAAATTATATGAAGTTGTAATTTCTGCAAATGGAATAGCAATTTAATTTCAAAGTCACAATCATGAGATGATTTCACAATTTTGAGACAGAATGTTGCAACTGTGAGATATAAAGTAGAATCTGTAAGGAATTAACAATTAAGTTCCAATTTTGAAAATAAAGTTGCAATTATGAGAAATTAAGTCACTTGTCACTAAGTCATTTGTTCATTTTTAAGGTGAAAACAGGCTTCCATAGCTCAACGTTCTTCCAGAAAGCATGAAAAACAGGCCAGTTTGTGCACACAGCAAACAATTAAACAAACAGTACTGAAAATATTGTCATGTAAACAGGTAAGACATTACTAGAATACTACAGAAGAAAATACATAGAACAGGAAGTAATTTATTCAACTTACCTTCAAGTGGAATATCCAGGGCATTACTCTGATACCTGCAGCTCATATTAAGGCAAGCACCCAAAAGGAGGAGGATTTTCCATAGTAACCGCATGACTGGCCAAAGCCTCGGAAGAGAGCGGAGGATGACAAGGAATGTTGCAGTTTGCCAGGAGTCAGTGCATCTCACTCCAATACAGTCTGGGGTCTCGCTACCTGCACAAAACACAACACAGATCTTACTGGCACCCAGACTTCAGCTGCAAACAAGAAATCATTGTCACACACATGCACAACCATGTGTATAAACAATACACAGACTTCCGAGCGACCATATGATTACAGTCGGCCCACAACATCACATATAAAAACAACCCTGTCACCTGCACAGAAACAAAGACTTGCATATTCTGCATGTCTCCTGCTGAGTAACTTGCGTCAATGTCTATTCCAACTTGTATTTACTTGACATGCATCTGTGAGAGGAATCTCCATATTAAAGCTCTCAATCACCGAGTCCATGGAGACATGAATTGTATTTCTGTAAATTGTTTGTCAGTGTATGTGTGGCAGGCGCGCATTTCTTCCCTCCGTTTCCCCTTCGTAACGCCGAGCATGAAAAATGAAACCTTAAAAAACAAAAAATGAATTCGAGCCCCCCTGCAGTTATGGTAATGTGCAGCAGCTGTTGCAGAAATTATTCTGAATTATGAATTCATGGCACTATAACAGTGACAGATTTTGATTAGCTGGATGCAGTAGAGAGAGCAGAACCACACCGCTGTTAAATCACAAAGCTTGCAGATGTGCTTAAATATGCGGTTAGAAATATGTCGCTTTGTTATACCAAAGTGGATGAACTTTGAGTTAAATGTCACGTTTGCTGCCACTAAAGTCATCTTGCACAGTCTCTTGTGATGTCATGTGTGGTAAGGGATCAGTAGTTGCTTTAACCTTTTGGAATCTGGTGCCAGCGAGACATCTGGCTGGAGACAAATTGAGTTCACGCCCCTTTTCCCTTCAGATTCATAACAGCGCTGGCAATAAAATGCTGCAGTTGATCGGAGTAACTTTAATGGAGGTCACCTTACATGGTGTACTGGGAATCAGCCTTGTACTTCCAAAATTACAATGCAATGTCTGGTGCCTGTTAGTCTACAACACCTATGATCAGGGTCAGACAGAATCTGTAGACTTTTTCGATAGTGAGTTTGATATAAAAATCTATGGGGTTCTGTGGAATGGATTTTGAAAAAATAAAAATAAAAATGTTAAATGGAGCTGAAAGCACTTATTGGTAGCTGAAAGTAACCAAAATTATTTGCCATATTATTTACTGAACTCACAGCGCAGGGAATGTGTGATGAATGATGAATAATAGGCTTACCAATAGTGGATTATATACAATATATAGTGACCTTTGTATGCAAGGCAAAAACACAGGGTAAGGTGTAATGAATAACAAAAAAAATGGGCATATCAGTCGCTGATTATGTGGAAAAATGTAACTAAAAATGTACAATAATATGAATAATAAGCATAACAGTAGCAGATTAGGTACAAAAAAAAGTTTAAAATTAAATAAATAATGAGATTAATAAAAAAATATTTAATTTTATTGACAGTTAAAATAAATAAAATACAATGTCACTTGTATGCAAGACAAACACGCAGACAAGGGATGTGTGTAGTGGGCATACCAGTTGCTGATTATGTGCAAAAAAATGTATGCAAAAAATTTAAATAATAAATAAATACAGTAAAAAATGTGAGATTAATCGCAATTGTACTGTATGTGATACACTGTGTCCCATTATTGTGATAGTATATACATTACTGTGCCTGTTAGTTTGAGGCCCCCAAGAACCAAACCATGATCTATCATCATTGTGCACCAGGCACTTGTGCTTGGGGAGTTTACTTCAGGGGATTGTCCCTGTACTGGAATTTACTTTGTATAAAATCATCTGTTAAATGACTACTTACACAGGGAATTTTATCTCAATGGCTGTATTTCTATACAAACTTTGCAACAAACTCTCACTGGTGCTCAATAGCCGTTCTCATTTAGGTTGGAGCCCCGGGCTCATTAGGTCACTTCCTTTTTGGCTTGAATTGGTTAAACACACAATAAAATGAATCAACGCTTAACTCTGAGAACAGAAGAGTACCAGGGAGGAAGGCAGATAGAAAGAGAGAAAGAGAAAGAAAAAAAAGGAGGCCCAAAGCTCACAAAATACAACTTTATCAGTCATTTCTACCCCTTCAGGAGCTACATTTTCTTTGAAACCATATGAGGTAATTTATTTAGGCGTCTAATTAAAGTCCAAAGGGGGATTTGGTTGGGGCAGGACTGTTAAGTTCTCTTTATTTCAGCTTTCGGGGCCAGTCATGAGAGATAACCTCACTTCACTGCCCCTCCGTTTTAACCCCACCATCTGATTCAATCACCACCTTTCTCAGCCAGACTTCTGAAGCCCATCCTCCCCTTTATCTTCTCCTCTGCTTAACAAATCCAGTAGGAAACATAGAGGTCAAACACCAGTAAGCAGAGAAGTAATTGAATAATTGACCACTGTGTGGATGAGTCGATTCACTTCATTCCTCAGTGGGGGCTCTTGTTTTCTGATGGGCTTGAACTCTGCTCCACATGCCTGCATTTCTTCATAATGGTATTAACTCTGCCGGGGAGAGCTTTTGTGATTTAGTGCTGGTTATGGTGACCCCTGAGATGACCTCTGTGATGTCACTAGAAAGGATTGGTTTCTACACCCCTTGACTGTTATACTGAAAGGCTGGTGGCTATGGTCTGTCGGACTTGGATGCGTTTCTTAGAGCCAAAGACAATGCCTGAGGCTCTACAGCTTGCCCTGAGACTGCTCTATCTCCCATAGATGGTGTCTAGCTTTAGTGGCCAGATTAAAATGTAAATGCAAAGGTAAAGCACTAAGCTAATTGGATTGTGATTTACTGGCCGATGTGGTGTGTTAGGTGGCATTTGTTTACCATCCTGATCCAATACAGTGCACCCTAGATTTTTACTACTGCACTAATTACAATGAAACCTGAAGTGTTACACTTAGAGAATCTTTTTGTTAATGTGTTCATTTACATGAACCATCTGATGACTCATAGCTAAGTATTGGAAAAGTAATACTTTCTTATTTTGAAAACAACTGAACAGACACACTACTGAATGATACAAATAAGTTAGTAGCTTCGCTACTTTGCTTAGTTACTTCCTAACATTGTTAATCACAGTCATTCTGAGCCTCTTGTCATAAAATGTCTTCATAGGAATATTCAAGCCAGATTGCCTGAAGACCTATAAAAGAGCATTTCAGTTATAAATAAATCTGGCACTTACAAATAGATCAGCATGAATCAGATCAACTCTATCCATTCGTTTGTAAGGCAATGTCAGTAAGACAACATTGCAACCAAAGAGAGCTCCTCTAAAAATTTCAATCTGCAACATTAAAAATAAAGCTCATCCCCATACAGCCTACCTAAGGATTACCCTGTAAACAACAAAGTGGGACTTTCTTAACAACTACAGCCTGCTCTTAATCCCCGCATCTCAGTCTAATGACACTGGCAAGGGGTAAAAGCTGCCCAGCGTGGGAAGTTCTGTGTGAACTCTGACCTGGCATTGCCTGGGCAAATCTGTCTAGAGTAAGAGCCAGAGGAGGAGGAGAAGATAGAATCTGAGCTGAGAGAATCAAGAGCAAGCTTTTCTCCCCAACTGACTGATGGCGTCCTGCCCCTCGCGCACTCGACTCGCCCACCGAGAAGACTCATTTAGCATGAAGGATAAGCGTAAATCAGGACAGTAAAAAAATAGGAAGCAAACTGGCAGTGGAAGGGAAGCAGTTGGCTGTTCAACCATATGAGGAAAAACAATCATTCCTCACATACTTCAAATGATCTCAAAACCACTGCATTGTCAATAAGTAGACAGATATCTGCTATTCAGCACATGCTCAGCATTTAAGTGCCATTTAGTATGAAAACTTTGTGCGCACACTATGAAGGCCATTAATGGGATTAGCTTCATCCCTGTCTTGTCAAACTGGATTAATATATTCTGCTGCCTGAAGAGTCTTGATGGCTGTATATCCTTCTCAAACCTTTGAATAAAACCCAGATTCTGATTTAATCTCTCCAGCACATTTAAGAAATTGGTGAGATTACTCATACTAAAGAGCAATTAGCATATTTCTCCTCAATTTGTGCTCTAATTAGAGTGTTTCATCTATTTAGTCTCTTTAATCTCTCGTTTGGCTTGATTACAGTGTGGACAAAAACATAAAATGGATAAAGATGCTACATTTAGGCTACTTATTTTCAGAAGCAACAACATATTGTATGAAAGCACACATTACATGTATGCATGATTTGTTTTTGTTTTTCTATTTTATAATATTTAAAAATATATTAATTTATTCCTGAGTTATGGTTCAAAGTTTGCTCTTTTAAAGCTCAGATGATTTCAGTTAAGTTTAATTTATGTATCAGTTTTGTCTCAGATGTTTCTCCTAAAGTAAAAGTAGGCACAAATAAGAGTATAGCGCTATAAAATAAATGTTGTATTTATAGCTCCTCTCATAAATGTTCTTGTTGGGACAAAAATACACACGCGGTGAATAACCAAAGGACAGATGTTATAGATTATAGTCAATATTGTTTTCATTTTTTGTGTCTGCTTTTCAAAATTAATGGCCTAAATAACATGTATCTGTGTAATGTTTTCTAATAAGTTGATGTTCTACTGAACAGATCTTTTAAATTAGTGAACAAATGAATGTTCACTGAAGTCTCTCGATTTTGAAACAAGTGACTGCTTAAAGTGAACAAACAGGGTTCAAATCTGGGTTGTGAAGGATCGTTTCATTGGTTGGAACAATCAAACCGAACACAGCCCTTCACAAAACAAGAGTCACTGAATGAGACTGAATGAGAATAAATCTTGTTTGTGAACTAATTGAATTAACTTGTTTGTGAACATACTGAACGAGGGATCTGTAGGCATGGCCGGACTTACCATTGGGCTTGAGTGGGCTGCAGCCCATGGGCCCTGCCTTGTAGGGGGCCCTGCCTTTGCCCATTTACGTTTGTTTGATTTGTTCATTATATGCCAGTCAGAATTCAGAAATTATTAGCTGCATTTCCACTGCGCACGCAAGATCTAAACGGGCCAGCCGGGGCTACAGCTT